AAGACAAAGACTTAAGGCATAAAACACTGCCAAGACAGCCATTCTGCTTAGGTCCTTACAATCGCGCGAGAGCGGCATACCGACACGCTGATATTAACCGCAAATCATATACGTTTCGCTTTCCATTTACCTATATGGACTTTTTTAGCGCTGGAAATCTATAGTACACGTAACGTATACTATTGATAGTATAGATTGTCAGCGCTGGCAATGAATTTAAGCTGCATTCCGATATTCACTGTCAGTACTGCAAATTTATATTTTATGTCACGTATACTGTAGATTTTCAGTACTGAAAGTTTCTGACGGTGAATATCGGAATGCAGCCTAGAAAGAGAAATTAAAAAAACAAACGTCGCTCGCGAGACGTCGCATTATTGCCGCTTGGCCGCTTGCTCGCCGAGGTTTACGTTTTTTTGGGCTCGCCTGGGCTCGTCGCAGTCGCCGCTCGCGGGCGGCTCGGGCCTCGGGCCGCGGCTTCTCGGTAACATGAGTAGGGGGGACGGAGCGGGGGTAGTGGAGGATCGCCGGTCGAGGCTGCTGCCAGTGCCCAGGCAATCCAGGCATACCGAACACGGTGTCACAGCGATTGCGCCAGGCGCCTCCCGCTCATTCTACCCCCATTCCATCCCCACCGCTTGAGTTGCCCGGGAGCCGCGGCTTTCTCCCGGTATCTGCACAACGTAAACGTATTAATTATTAATTAGCGCAAGTTCGCGTCACGTCGCGTCGCGTCGTTGCATAGGTATGGGTATGACGGATTTCGAAAGTTTCCGTTTCGCGGGCGGACGAGTGAAACAGCCGGGAGCAGCGAAGAGGAGCGGAAAAGAGCAACGCGAAAGGAACGAGCACAGGAAGCTGTGAAATGTGCGGCGACGACGCATCCGCCGGTGAGTGAACTCTTACCGGTATATCCTTGAGTGTACGGAGCTGCCTTGCAAAACGTAGCTTCGTTATTACAATCTTTTTTAATCTCTTTATCCTGAGAAGTTGGATGCTCTTCCGCCTCCATACTGGAATTTGGCTCCGAATCTCTTTCCAACGCGAAATTAAGGGTGGGACAGTGACCCGTGTACCTAAAAGTAAACACGCCATTACTTTAACATGAGCTGGTTGCGGCACAGTTATTACTGTGCCCGTTTTTTTTATCAGAGTATTATGTATGATACCAACATTACACAAATGCTCACAATCACCCAATGGTTTGGATAAAATTGTATATGTTACAGATCAACGTTTTCTACAAACCTACGCATCGTCACGCACATCAGTCGTCTCCTCAGGTTGTACCCGCGTGACGATGCGTAGGGTTATAGAACGTTGATCTGTAATTGACTTGTGATTGACTTTTTTATATTATATCATATATGAAAGTATTTCTTTTATTTAATTTAATCATTTATTCAAATGTTTCAGAAAATAACGACTTGGAGAGGGTCGCATCGAGAGAATCATACGCAGCAGATTATCTGGATGGCCTGAGAGGAGGAGGAGACCTTGGATAGGCATCGGGCGCCAGCGGATCAACCGTACGGTAAATATTTTTTACTCTTGTGTAAAACTAATTATTTCTTTGTGTTTATTTGGATAGTTCGATTTTATTCATTAAAAAATAATAATTAGAGATAAATAAATAATTTAAAATTTTATAAAATTTTATTCTTGTGAAGATCTCTTTCGGAAAGTATATCATTATTTCAAAAGTATTTAATTAAAAGATGAATAAAAAATTCACTGTTTATAAGAATTATTTTTTGAAAAATTAATCACTTAACGCTTTTTAACTTTATTTTAAATCTTATATGTTACAGAATCGACGTAGCTACGTGGCTGATAATTCCGCTGCTGCGCATCGGTCGGTGAGTGACAAAACTTATTTCAATAGTGAAGGAGATATTGCGTACAATTATTTGGAGCGCACATAGTCATTTGTAAAATCCGTTTCCGAACGCAGCCATACCTAGTAGGATACAATAAAGTATGCATATCCCGAGAAAAAAATATAAACATGCACGCGAGGTATACTTGTCTACCTGTAACTTCTGTATAAAATATGTATACTGTGAATAATTAAAATAGCACAACTCGCAAAGGAATCGAGATCGATCCGGGAATCTGTGATTAAAATAAATGACTGGGGTATAAACATATGTACCGTTAAAAGAATAAAGCAGGTTTCAATTTTCAATTATTGTACATTATAGAAACTTCTTAGAAATATTTTTACAGATTGACCCGAAACTTGGAGAAACGGTTTTCGGTTAAGGAGGTAGTACAGTCTGGCGGAGGACTGTACTACTTCAATTTCAGGATTTATTTGTGACAAAGTGGTAGGCCAATCAGATTCATGGTGAAAGTTATAGCACTTTATAGCAAAAAGTTATTTTGTGCCAATGAACTTCTTTTTGTTAAGTGCTATAACTTTCACAATTTTTAACATTTTTACAATTTTTGAACGTCACTCTGTGGGGAATACATTTAAATTTAATACCTCCTACATAACTCCTACATTTCTTAATATTTTTCCATATAAAAAATGCTGTAAATGCACCTAAACATGTACTTCAATATCGTATACACCATGAACCTGATTGGCCTACCACTTTGTCACAAATAAATCTTGAAATTGAAGTAGTACAGTCCTCCGCCAGACTGTACTACTCCCTTAATCGCTCGGTCGACTTTCATTGGTTGATTGTGAGCATTTATGTAATGTTGGTATCATACATAATACTTCTGTCACTAGTTTATGTTAAACTTTAAAGTATTCAGCGAAGGACAGTTGATGTAACCCTACGTCAACTGTCCTTCGCTGAATACTTCAACATAAGTTAGTGACAGTAGACGTAGTTCTACGTTGTTGGTTGCGGCACAGTTGTTACTGTGTTTGTTTTTTTTTATCAGAGTATTATGTATGATACCAACATTACATAAATGCTCACAATCAACCAATGAAAGTTGACCGAGCGATTAAACGAAAACCATTTCTCCAAGTTTCGGGTCAATCTGTAAAAATATTTCTGAAAAGTTTCTATAAAGTAATTGAAACATCCTTTATTTTTTTTTTAACGATATATATGTTTATACCCTACAGTCATAGCCCTTTATAATCACAGATTCCTAGATCGATCTCGATTCCTTTGCGAGTTGTGCTATTTTAATTATTCACGGTATACATATTTTATACAGAAGTTACAGGTAGACAAGTATACCTCGCGTGCATGTTTATATTTTTTTTCTCGGAATATGCATACTTTATTGTATTCTACTATGGCTGCGTTCGGAAACGTTATCCGAGTTGACTCGAGTGTACTCCCTTCTCTTTCTATCTCAGCGAGTTAGAAAGAGAAGGGGTGAGTATACCAGGGTGACGTTTCCGAACGCAGCCTACGTCGCAATATGTAGCGATGTAACTACAAGTATAGATCTAAAACGAAGAAGCCACTGTGCGTGCGTATGTCGCGCAAGATATCTAAAGAATTAGATACGCTTCACCGGGCAGAAAAACGCCTATAATGTTCGCGTAATAGGTCATAATTTTGCACTATCGTCCAGTATATATTTCCTTAATCCTTAATATATTTTACAGGTCATGGAAAAGTGAACTGCAAATTAATTTTGTATCAATCAAATATTACACGAGAGTTAAATGGGAATTTTTATTTTCGCTAGACCTCAAAATTTAATAAAGTGTACTAAAATTTTGATTCAATTATTTTTCAAAGCAATATATACATTCGCTTTCCAACTGGGGCAATTACACATCTTTTTTAAAAATATATATTGCTTATTTGAGGTTAGGTAACGCAATTTTGTTAATTATTTTGTTAGGAAGAAATAAAGTTACTACTATTTAGGATTTTTGGATTTACAACATACATTGCGCGTGTACTTGGCGTCTTTTTTTACTTTTTTTTTAAAAGTTAATTTTGTATTGATAAAAATTCACATCAGTGTATTTAAAATCCGATTTAGTCATGGTAATTAGCTCACATACGTTTCGGTACTGCGACGAAGAGATCTCGACTTCTTCCTCGTCGGAAATCTGCGAGATTTGCGCCCCTCTTGTGTTGTTGTCTTCTTTTTATAATTTGGCCGTCAAGCAATACTGCTCTAAATAAGGCCCGGGCGATCCACTCGTCGTATAAGCCGCAAGCGGCGTAAATTACAAAAGTTGGAGGTTGGAGGCCTCGAGAGGCGCCGATACAAGGTAGTTAAACAATCCAGACAGTAACAGTCGTTTCAAAAAAAATTTTTCTTTTAGACAAAACACGACTGAACACGATCGAACTCGCCAACCGATTGGGAATGTTCTGCCATCATTTTCGTCCCGCATCCCGCATCCCGCATCTTGCGCCGCACGGCGCAATATCAGTGGTGGTTAGGTCGCCCTTCCGCACCGCGCCACACCGTTTAAGCCGTCACACATAAAATGCCGTAAGGACATAAAACGTAAGCGTAAGAAAATCGATCAATCCTAATCGAGTATTTTCCCCTACTGGGATTACGAACAGCGCAATACTTGATTGGGATTGGTCGATTTTCTTACGCTTACGTTTTACGTTCTTACGCGATTTTATGTGTGAAGACCTTTACCCTTGTCCGCTCTCTTCCTGCATCTACGCCGTACTCGAGTGACCCTGAAAGCGCGGATGCAAAGAGCACTCCGGCAAATCGAAATCAATACCTGGCCTACTACGCTGTGGCCTTCTTTTCAGTTAAATCCTTTTGCCGCCGTGCCGTGTCTAATGCGAGCGTCTATCGTGTCACTGATTCCATTGTTATCGTACAACATGTGTAAACATTGAAAGAGAAACAAAAATAAGCAAAGGACGCGTAACACGACGAAGTATCAAAACGCAATGTTTTAATTTTTTATACTTTTGAAGCAGTTTAGATCTTTAAAATTAAACATTAACGTACAGTGCATATTTCCGGGGAATAATAGCTTGACGACTTCGACATCTAGCATGAAACGGGGATTGCGGCATAAGGTTGTTTCTTAAGAAAGAGAAGAAATATCAACGGTGGGTTAGAGGGAAAATTGCATTACTGATAGTAGAATTAGATCTTTGTATTCTGCAGCTGATAATCTTCAGATCTGTATCTGCATCTATCGTTGATCGAATAGTATTATCATAGAAAGTGAGAATTATGATTTTGCCTTATGTCCCGATAACTCCGAGTAATATTGTTTCAAGTGGTCAGGTAGTGTGGGAGTGTCATCATCGAGAGATATTCCATGTACATTAAATAAGCTCTCATTTTTGTTGTGCGATTTTTTGGAAGAGGTATCTTAATTTCTTTTTTACAGGTCGTGCACTTCACCAGCGAAGGTTTCAATTTCTCGAAATTATTCCACGACCGTTCTGTAATACATATTGTTTAATATTAAATATGATACAGTGATTGCCTCAGCAAGCGTTCATATAGAATTTCTCACAATGGTAAAAAGAGACATATAGTTTATTTATTATGATGTATGTTTACACGGATATGTAGTTTGAATTTACCTAACTACCAGATCTCGCACATAGATCTCCAAACTTACCTTTTTCCAAGAAAGATAAAAAACACGCCAAGTATACGTGCTCCATACAACACCTTTATCAAAGAGAGAAAATTTTAATCTAATTTGATCTTATAATGCTATTTGTATTTTTTTGCTAAAAAAGCAATAACATCAGAAGGTTTGCGCTAAATAAATATGATAAGAAACTTGGCGCCAAATGTCTTTTGTGTGTGAATCTAAATAATAAAAAAACAGTACAGGTGTGTACCTTTTGATATCATTATTTTCGTAGTAAAAAATATGTAATTATAAGACCAAATTTGGTCAAAATTTTTTAAAATAAAGTTTGTGTATAAAGCACGTATTTTTGACGCATTTTATTATTTTTTTTCAAAAAAGATATGTTTTGTACGGATATCACTTCTTTTTTTACAATTATATGGGAACCGTGAAAATATAAAACCTTTGATATATTAATTTGCAAATAAAGAAACGCGGACAATACAGAAGCAAAGGTATTGTTCCGCAGTATTTTAACGTTCTGCTGAAGGATTCGTATGGTAACCCGTTGAACTTGAACTGTTTGGTTTGCATTGAAATACGATGCAATTAGAAATGGAATTATTTCAAAAACATTAATATTATTTAAATAAAATATTTAAATAAAATATATAAATAAAATATTTAAATAAAACCCATACAGCATGAAATATTCCATGAATGTTCTATAAATATTCTTTAGAATATTCATGAATTTTCTAGGAATGATCTATAAATGTGCAAAGAACGTGTAATGTCCCGCTTTGAATGTCCTTAGAAATTTCTGTAAATATTCTCGAATAATCTACAAATGTTTTATAAATTTTTCCGCATAATCCATAATTTTTTTATATGTGCAAAATATATTTATAGAACATTTATAGATTATTTTAAGAACATTAAAAATGGGATATCGCATATTCTGTATACATTTAATATTTACCCGACATAAAAAAAATTATTTATTTCGAAATTTTATTACTATTTTTTAACTAAATTTGTTTCTTAAGATGCAGTCTATGATTATAAATATTTTCCGGTATTTGAAAAACACACTTACCTTGGTGGGATTCGAACTTGGGACCTCTGGATCGTGAGCCAACTGCCTTATGTGGTAGACTACTTCTTAATTTGATGTAAGCATTATATATAGTCTACATATGTCATAACCAGCGCAAATATATAATTTTTCAAAAATCATCTTAAGAAACAAATTCAGTTTAAAAAGAGTAATAAAATTTGAATTAGATATATGATATAATATTTCTCAATGTCGGGTGAATGTCAGAAACCAGTGCCGGCTCATTATGAAATTTTTTAATAAAATTATATATTTTTAATTATTTTTTTGAAAAGAAAATTGTAAATCTAATAATAATGATAAAGAATAAGGATTGGCTATTAAGCTTTGGCCCAATATTGGGCGGCACTTGCTTGCCAAGCCTCGGCTACCCAAATTCGGGTAATAGTTGGGCCAAATGGCTTGATTAATGCTCGACAAGTGCAGGATGAAAAATAAAACGCAATAGATTGAACAATATTGAGTTAATTAAATATATATATATATATATATTTTTTTTTATTTTATTTAAATATTTCCACCATAATGGTCATAACGAATACACAGTTTCGATTCACAAATTATAAAAGAAGCGCGAGCCTTCCATGCCTTTTATGCCGCGCGCATCTACACAGAAATATATGTATAAATAATAAACACAATTTATTATGGCTATGGTCCGATTCACAGCGTTGAAAACATCGCTCTATCTTTGTTTGATATATTCGATGTGCAACGAAAGATAGACAGTAGACAGAACGATCCTTTTATAACAGCTTGTCAGCGTTGTGAGTTGTGTGAGCGTGATAGCGCGTGAATCGGACCGCAGCCTATATGATACATCTCGACAGAAATATTAGTTCTTTACCAATTTTTCTGCGCCTCAATTCAAATAAAAATATATTGTTCGTTTGAAGCACACAAACACAAATATCAATATTCGCGCGCACGCGCGTACATCGTCTTTATAATACAATCGCAAAACTAACAATAAACAAGATCGTTGTTACCATAACGACTACGATAAAAGGGCTTTTCTGAAAATACATTATTATCCAGCTGTGCATGCGAGTCGCGAGAAGATTTAAAGCTATAAGTGAGATTTGAGATAAATAAGTGTATAAATCCGCGCAGTTCCCTGCGCGGCCGGCGGCGTCAAGTGGCCTCGAGGCCTCGAGTCTCGAGCAGTCTCGAGTGCCAGCGCTAACGAATGCACGGCTAACACGTGCTCAACCAGCTCACGTGTTCGGCGCTCACAGCTCACACCGGCACGCGTCTGATGACAGATGACAGTGGTCAAGTGGTGACAGGTCTGGCTCTGGCTCTGGCCTCGCCGTGGCCGCTGGCCGCTGCGCGCTAACCGGAAGAAAGAATCAAGGAACAAGAGGGAAATTCGTTTAATTTGCATACATGTCCATTTGTATTTGGCTTATCCGTCGCGAGGTCGAGAGAACAACGTGACGCGCGTCTTCTCATCTCGGCTGCTTACACGTAGATGTAAGACGAACGAATAAACAACTCGTCGATACACAGGCACAGGTTATCTGTCACTGTTGTCGCGGAAGAGGTAACTTTTCTCGTTGCGACCGAGCGACGACGACGACGACGGACGACGATATCCACTCGTTGTAAGCTTGCAAGAGATATGATTGCAAGAAAAAGGAAGAATATACGCGCGGAGTCCGCGGAGAAGGCCGGCCGGGCGGGAGGGGCCGATAAGAGAAATCGACGTGGGCGTGCTACGTGGAATCGTGAAAGTGAAGGTAGCAAAGGTATGCTGCCGCTGCCGCTGCCACTGCCACTGCCACTGCCACTGCCACTGTCACTGCCACTACTACCTGCGGCTGAGGCCGATCGAACCGGATGAATACCTGTTGCCTGTTGCCTGTTGCTCCTTCCTTTCTTCCTTTCCTCCCTCGCCCGTTCGCTCGCTCGCTCGCGTTGGCGTTCGCGTTCGCGTCTCTTGACGTGACGTGACGTGGGCAGCCGTATCGAGAGATTTACCGAGAGCAACGCGCGACGATAAACACGACGCGCGATAAGGGGATATATATATCGCGTTGGCAAGTGTCAAACGCTGCGTGTTAACAAGCGGGTTGACATGGAGCGCCTGAGAGAGAAGCTGAGTGAATACGACCAGGAACATCTGCTCCGATTTTGGGAGGAGCTGGTGGACGAGGATAGGTACCATCTGGCGAATGATATAGATGAGCTTGACCTGCAGGAAATTACCGGATATTTCAAGAGGGCTGTGGAATCCTCCCAGCGCATCGGCCAGAGTACGCTGGATGCCAAGTTACAGCCGATCAATGGGACCAAGCGTGCCTCTGCCAAGACGTCCACCGAGAAAGAGTTGGACATGTACGAGGAACGTGGCTTGAAAGAAGTAGCTGAAGGTCGCGTCGCCGTCGTACTGTTGGCAGGTGGTCAAGGCACGCGTCTAGGAGTCACCTATCCTAAGGGAATGTACGACGTTGCGTTGCCGTCCCATAAAACTCTTTTCCAACTGCAGGCAGAAAGAATACTCTCTCTGCAAAATATGGCGCAGCAACGGTATGGAAAACATGGAGAAATAACCTGGTAGGTTTGCAAGAATCATTATACGTATTCATTGTTTTACAAGGGTAGCTACAAGTATCCTACTGTGCACTATGCTAAGGAAAAGGAAAGCGTCACTTGACGTCATTTTCGTTTTCAGGTATATCCTTACTAGCGAAGCCACTCATGACGCCACTGTTGAATATCTAAGCAAACGCAACTATTTTGGTTTAAAAGATAAAAATGTCAAAGCCTTCAAACAGGGTATGCTACCGTGTTTCACCTTTGACGGAAAGATTATTTTGGACGCGAAGCATCGTCTTTCCAAGGCTCCCGATGGTAACGGAGGATTGTATCGCGCTTTGAAAAATCAAGGAATATTGGACGATATGTTACAACGCGGTATTCGGAGTATTCACGCACATTCCGTGGACAACATCTTGGTGAAAGTAGCGGATCCTATATTCATAGGATACTGCTTGCTGTCTGAGACCGACTGCGGAGTTAAAGTTATCGACAAGTCTTCTCCCTCTGAAGCTGTTGGCGTAGTTTGCAAGGCATGTTTTCTTTTATAATATTAATACAGGATGTTGAAAAAAAGTGTTACATATTTTGAGAACAGTGGTATTTATCAAAACAATAAGAAAATGTCCAGTAAACATGGGTCTTAAATTAAATATCTGTTAAGAATGTTAAGATATGGGCCAGTCTTCATCGTATAATGTAGGAGGTGCCCTATGTAGTTCCCATTCATTGCTACGCATCCTTTAATTCCTCTTGCGAATACACCTCCCTATTTTTGGCTATGAGGATACATACATTTAAAGACCTTGGTATATTTAACACCATCGATGACGTACAAACATTCAACATACTATCTGTTTCTGTTCTCAAAATATGTAGCATTTTTTTTAACACCCTGTATATACTTATGCACGCGCGCGCGCACACACACCTATACCTATCTTTTACTACTTTTATTTTGGTTGATATAGGTGGAAAATCACTATCAAGTAGTTGAATATAGCGAAATGACGAAAGAGACTGCGGAGCTTCGACATGCCGATGGACAACTGGTATACAATGCTGCTAATATATGCAATCACTACTTCACGATCGATTTTTTAAAAGATGTCGGATATCTTTACGAGAAAGATTTGCCTCTGCACGTGGCAAAAAAGAAAATTCCATACGTTAATGACGATGGAATAAGAATCATTCCAAACGTTCCTAACGGCATCAAGATAGAGAAATTTGTGTTTGACGTGTTTCCCTTCGCAAAGAATTTCGCAGTATGGCAGGGAACGCGTGAGGAGGAATTTAGCCCGCTGAAAAATTCAAGTTCCGCTGGTCAAGATTGCCCGAGCACCGCCCGCACCGATTTGCTCACGTTACATAAAAAGTGGTTGCTGAAAGCAGGTGCGAGAGACGTCGGGGACAATGTCGAGATCTCTCCTTTGCTTTCGTACGCGGGAGAAAATTTGTGTCAAATCGTTAACGATCGATCTTTCATGGAACCACAAGTTCTCGAGTAAGAAAAATATAAACTCTCCATCAATCTATACTATGTAGATAACGAGATGTCCCCCAGCAAGTGACTGTTACGTTTCTGAACCGCGCTTATAATAACTACTTAATAACCATATTATTTGTATACTATCCGGTTTTCGGTATATATTATAATACTCGTGGTTACTTTTTTAACTCCACGGACTGGCTGAAACAAATAAAAAGAATGAAGAAAAGGGAAACAACATGTAAACAAAGACTGTATACAGTGTCGATACGTATGCATAGAATTTGGCTGTATAAATTCAAATGTACGTCGGCTATAATCTGGCAATATTATTATTTAGTCCATAAGTATTGCGACTGTCACATTTTTATATATTATTACTGTTATAGTATGTGGTATATCGTATGAAATAAAAGTAATGAATATACAAGCGTTTCTAATATTTCTGTAGTAAATCTAATCGTGTGCTTTTATTATAAGCATACAAGTCTAAGCTTATATGAAACGGGTACTACTTGTGCACGATTTTCAAGACAATTATAATTGTGATAAGTTGGACTCTTTTTAAAGAGTCCCTATAATAAAAGTCTGGACACCGGCCGTCCATGTATGGGATAAAACCAGAAGTTTCCCTGGTTGGGATGACGTAGAGTGTGTAAAAGTGATAAGTTAGCTGAGAGTGACAAAAAGATTAATTATATGTCTTCTTGAAAGAAAATATCTATTATATTAACGCTAACATCCATCAAAAATAAGTATTTTGGTTTGCATTTATTTTTTAATAGGATTTGAATTGAACATCTTGCGCCTTCATCCCCCATACATGCGGCCGCCACTACAACGCGGTGTCCAGGTTGGTCCAGGTCTTTAGACTCTCAATTATAGATTATAGGACTCGAGATGACTTTTTTATGCTTTTAGCGCGCTCTTTTCAACCATAAACATCAAATGGTATTATTGTTTGGGAGAGATAATTAATAAACTTGTTGCATGGTTTATCTTTCCTCTTTTTCTTTTCACGTTGGAGAGAAAAAGAGAAAAGATTAACTGCGGGGCCCGATTCTCTAACGAGAAACGTATGCGCAAA